TCTTTCCCTTTTCTCCCTTTATTCCTCTGTTTAAAAAAAGATCATGGTTCTTATTGTATTTTGCTAGTACATGCTTCAGTGTGCATCTATAAAAAGTGTACATTTTAATGCTGTGTCACACAAAACAACATTAATAACTGTTTGGTGTCATCTAGTACCTGGTCCATATTCAGATTTCTTCAATTGTATAATTGCTTAAATTGTATAAATGTTCTTTTATAGTTATTTTGTTCAAGTCAGGATCCAAACAGTGTCTACATTTTGCCTTTTGTTGTTATGAATTTAATTTCATCTAATTCCTAAATACTTGCTTTTAGTTATGCATACTATTTATCTGAGAAAATTTTTCATTTGAGATAAAGAGTAGTAAAGATGAATGTGCGGGGTTTTTTTTCTTGTCTATAAGAATAAGTGTAGGGCTTCCCTGGTGGCGCAGTGGTTGAGAGTCCACCTGCCAATGCAGGGGACACAGGTTCGTGCCCCGGTCTGGGAAGATCCCACATGCCGTGGAGCAGCTGGGCCCGTGACCCATGGCCACTGAGCCTGCGTGTCCGGAGCCTGTGCTCCGCAACAGGAGAGGCCACAACAGTGACAGGCCCGCGTACCGCAAAAAAAATAAAAAGAAAAAAAAAAAAGAATAAGTGTATAAACAAAACTTTTCTAGGCTAATAAGCATATGTAATGTGCTCTCTTGTGTGCACATATTGGAGAAAAATGGAAAACTGCTTAGGAAGCTTCACAGCATATTTTGTGATGCTCATGGTTTATAATATAATACAATTAAAACATATGCTGGGCTATGCTGGAACCTAGAGGAGCTTTTGATCTAGTAGGAAGTAGCAATCTCCACAACAGAAAGATAACTAAGGAGCAACATATGGTAGGTATTAAATGAATTATTATAGACAGTAAGAACTTGGCACGTTAAAACTGGGTGAGATTATTGCCAGTTTGGTGAGTTTTCTGTAGAGATGGGATTAGACCTGGGTCTTGGCTGGTAAAGCATAGATTTACGATAACAGGAATAACCTTTCAGGTTAGCATACCATGAATAAATGCACAAAAGATGTGCAAGTGCTAGGTAACTTCAGGAGGGGCCAGTGAAGAGTAGACAGTTGGGTTAGAGAAGTAGTGGGTAGTAAGGCAGTCAGATTCTAGCATACTTTGATATTCGACTATGGAGTTAGGAGTTACCTTGCTGTCAAGAGGATGGTTACTGAAGATTTTTTAGGCAGATGACACGAAAAAGAGTGTTTTTGGAAACTCTGCTGGTCACATGTAGAAGCAGTGTAGAGGTTTGGCATGTAATTGATACCTGTAGTCATGGTGGGAAGAGGAAGACAAGGCAAAGGGTAGTTTTAAAGGACAAGATACCAGAGTAAGGGAAAGGGAGATTTAAAGATGATTAATCTATGCAATGAATAATAAATAAGCCGTAGAGATCTAATGCATGGTATAATGAGTATAGACAACAGTATTATACTATAATCATCAACCTTGCTAAGAGACTTAAACTTAGTTATCCCAGTGACTAAAATGAAAGGATAAAAATGTAATGTGATAGAAGTGCTCAATATTGCTACAAAGGCAGTCATATTATAATATATAAATGTATCAAGTTAATGTATTTGACACCTTAAATTTACACACTGTTTTATGTTATCTATATTCAGTTAAAGAAAGATTAATCTATTTCATAGTAGAGATATATTTACTGAAAATGTGTCAAATTTTAAAATACTTCATAATTTCCCAAGGTAATTTTATAAAGTGTTTCTGTTACTGTATACTTTGGTGTTTACGGGAAGTATTACAGGATGAAATGGTGAGGTCACTTACTTAGTGGCTTTGGTTGTAGTAGTATATACAGTTTAATTCAGTATGAAAAACAATGTAAGGATTATTATTTTTTTAAAGGATAAACTATGTCTCTATTTGGACTGGTTCTATAACCAGAATCTCCAAGCAAAATGTGATTTACCAAAATATCTTATGTCTTCCCTGGTAAATCATTACACTGATCACGGTTTCTATCTCATCGCCTGTCTTTGCTGCTGATCATCACATGATCTCAAGGCTTCAGGAAAATTGAAAAGTAACTCCTCCTTGCACAAAAAAATTGGGGATCTCTATTAGTTAGGATATGTGTTTGGCCACTCCATTAGAGACCCAGAATAATACCTGATGAAATAAAGTTTAATTTTCTCTGACATAGTCTAAAGGTAAGCAGTGCAGGGCTCCATTGTGTTGGGCAACTAAGCTGTCAGTGGCTCTGCCATCCCTAGAACGTTGCTCACATTTCCAAGATAGCTAATCTTCATGATCACATTCTAATTGTAAGATGGGAGAAAGGGCAGTACCTGGAATTTGGTCAGAAACTGGCCACACATGGGGCAGAAACTGTACTTTTCATTCTCAGTGGCCATATTCCTAGCCAAATATTAGGATTTTGTTACTGTGGGAGAAAAGTGAAGAATGGATATTAGGGAAGTGCCAGTTGTCTCTGCCATAGAATCCCATCTTTATTAGCTAAAGCAATAGTTTTTTAAACTTATTTGGCTCTGTAATTTTTTATTTACAAATGTGAAAAAGTAGCCTTGGTAACATTACCAGATTTGTTGAAATTTTGACCAAATATTAGAACTGGACTTTTTTGAATCTGTTAATATTCCTCTCTTCTTTATGAGAAATAAAACTGATGTTCTATTTTTGTCAGGTTGTTAACCCTTAGACCATACCTGTTTGGGATCTCCCCTCTCTCACCAGCAAAAACATTTCCTTCTCCTTCATAAGGTATTCTAACCTGTTAATCAAGTATTGCATATTATTATGTTAATTAATACAAACTTTTGAAATAAAGCTTTCAGTATAGTCAAAACGGAGCTAGTTGACAAATGGGCTCTTTGGGGCTGGATTGGTGGCAGTGGTGGTCGAATGAGAGGTTCTGTCTCCAGTACAGGCTTATCAAGGTCAGATCTGGTTACAAGCATGACAGCGTAAAAGCAATACTCCTAGAAGTATGACACTAGGTCCCAGGGATGTGGTGAGAGGCACAACTGTGTGAAAGCCATCTCTAGGTCATTGGAAGGAGCAGTTTTTACTTTACTTGCTTTGAGACTCTTTTGTTCCTCATTGCTACTAAATAGATGACTTTTGTCTACGAAGACAGTCTTGAGAATTTCCTTGAGATGATCACTTGCTAGTTTATGATTTGATTGGTCATGACAGTGTATTTGGATGTCCCTTGGAACTTCAAATATTTCACAGTGTGTTTTTTAGTTCTTGCTGCCTTCACTTAATTTAGCACTTTGCTGTTTGCTTCTCCGGTAACACTGGGATAATGTGATGCTTGAATGTACTGAGTACATGTCATCCATGTCTACATTTCAGAGTCCCTTTCTTCATCTTAACAAGTCTTGCTTAAATGAATAACATGGAAAAGCACATATGGAGCTCATAGCTAAAAGCTTTAGTTAGTGGAGTTCTTTTTTTGTATATTTTATGTGACTCGGCATAGGAATTATGATGATGCATGAAAATGGCAAAATATGGTGGTTTTAAGAATTTAACAGTTTTCATTGAAGTATTTCTTAAGCACTTATTACAGGTCTTAGTACTCTTAGTTCTTATGTGGAAAATAGGAAATGGAACTGTCACTTTTTTATGCCTGCTACCTATTGGGCATTCATGTAATCTTCACTGCAATTCTTCAGGAAGGGTATTTTAAACTCCATTTTACAGATGAGGAAACTGTGGGTCCTGAAGATTAAGTTGCTTACTTACAGGTGACTGCTGCTGCTGAATACTTGAGGATTTAGGTGGGAAGTTTCTTTGGGTCCTGTGGTATGACTTGAAAGTTATGGATATAGAGGTGGAGGGAAGGACATTCTCATTTAACAGAGAAGCACTCTGACAAAAAGGAGCAGAGGTTAGAAGTTACAAAACCAATGGTGATTTTGAAGGTAAATGTAAATTACTTTGTTTTAATATGATAAAACTAAAAGGGACTGTTTTATAATTAGATAAATACATCTTTATATATTCTGTTTTACATTGCAGATCTTTGAGAGTGTTAACTGTTTTAAATGCTCCTCTGAAATCAGACATCAAAATTTTACCTTTTTGGATTCATCCTCATTTTCTCCAGTTAGAAGTGTGTTCTTTGCTATATATATTGTACATAGCACAATGTATCAAAATTCATATACTACATGATGCTTTTTGAAAGGTAGTGACTTTGTTTTATTTTGCACATTTTAGGTAGGTTGGATTCTTAGCAAAATGAACCTTTAAAAATGTATTTCTTATTTATATAGAGGAAACTCCATAAAATATTTTTATGCAGGAGCAAGAGGGAATTGGTGGAAGTGGTTGTTTTGGGGGGCTTTGCCTTGCCAAAGTGGCTATGGATTGAAAAGTTAAAAGACCATTCCTTGTAAGTTTCCTGGAGGGTCTGAACTCTGGCAGCATCCAACCAAAGTAGAAGCTAAAAGAAAATTTGCCACGATTAAAGTTTTGGAAGTTTTTTCTTTGTTTTCTTCTTTTTAGAGGCATTAGAAGAAATGGACAGTGAGTTGCTCAAGTGTGAATTCTGTGGAAAGATGGGGTATGCTAATGAATTTCTGCGGTCAAAACGATTCTGCACTATGTCGTGTGCCAAAAGGTATTTCTGTTCTCTTGAATTTCCTAGAGCACAAGCCAACAACTGCTGTAACAAAACGAAAAAACTTGTAGAGTTTACCATTAGTCAAAACTAGATATTATAGAGGAATGATATCAAATAGGCATTATTTGGAGCTACTTTGCTATTTAGTTGTTAACTTTCGCTCCGTGAAAACTGCATATTCATAACACATACAGCATAATCTAATATTGAAGTGGCAATCTTCTGGTGGTAAGAATATGCTTAGGAGAACCCCTCCTGTGAATAGACTACTAGTCCTTAAGGTGTCAAAACAATATTTGTTTTATCAATATTGAAATACCTGGATTTACTTTGTTATATTTTAAAATGTTTCATTTCTTTTAACCATATCCTATTTATTTTAGGTTTCTAAGTGGGACAGCTATAGCATAAGTTCTCCACATTGTTATATTATCTGACAACAAAATGGCCTCTCTTCTAAACCTGTATTTTCAGTAGTAATGTTATAGGTGAATAGTATTACTATCAAAATTTTTAGTATCTTCATTGATCTAGTCGCAAGTTTAGTTTACATTAAAGAACACCCCTCTAATTCTGATTATAAATCCTAATTTTAGGTATTTCCCACCAAAGGTGAAGTGTATGCACAGGTTGATTATTTTGAAATTTGTTTTCTATTCCAAAAGTTATTATTCTCTCAAAGAATTCAAGAACTTAAAGATTCATCCAGGGAATTTCTTGCTTGAATACATTATTTAGTATGGTGCCCCAAAAATATACTTAGTAAAACTTAAGTTAAATAACTAGTAGAAGTATTTTCCTCTAAAAATGGGTCATTGGTTTTTCAATTGTCAATGTTATTCAGATATTCTTTCACGTTATTGATAGTCCTAATCAAATTATGTAACTCCTGTTTTAACTTAGGAGTTTTTCCAGTTTGCATGCACTACAAGAAGGAATATTGGCTCTGTGATTCTAAGGGATTAAAAACTGAGGGAGAAGGATTGCCTTTCAGAATACTTTAAACTCCTTGACTATTTAGAACTATTTCAGGACATTTAACACTACAGTCGCTCTTCTCCCAGAGGTGATTGCTCAGTTGTCCTGTTACTGTACCTTTAGGCGAAGCTCTTTAGAGGTTTAGGGGTCCTAATGTAGGAAACTGCAGACGAGAGAAGAGCAAGGAGGAGAGGGTAAATTAGGTCTCACCTGAGAGCTGCTGTTTGCATGTCTGCCGTCTTAGATATCTAAATATTTAGGGACTAAATAGCAAGTGTAAAGTCAGTCTCTCTTCTCTGTTCTGTAGTCAGCTAGGAAAGAAGTTTTGTCAGTTGATGTGAATGAAAATCAGAAACCTTTAGAGCTGAGTCCACAGATGAGCATAATGAACACAGGAGGAGCTTGTTGAATTGTTTTAGGGTAAAATGAAGTGACCATCAGGACACTTTTCTTTTTTATATTTTTAGTGGAAAAATAGCCTATTCACTCTCATAGTACTCCTTACTTCTACCTCCTGATATTTTCATAAAACATAGGTGAGGAAATTCTTGTCATTTCCCTGAAAAATCATCTTAGAGCAAAAGAGTTTTGAAAATAAGAAATTACAATGGCAGTTTTATGTGTAAGAAAAGAGGAACTGTGTATATTTTTCTTAGCCTCTGTGTAGCTTTTCAGAAATTTGTATCTTAGATCATCTCTTTTCACTCTTCTTTCTAGGGAAGGGGTTGGCAAACTATGCCCAGGCTGAGTCCTTTTTGGAGCCTATTTTTATATGGTCCCTGAACTAAGGATAGTATTTAAATTTTTAGGTGGTTGAAAAAGAATCAAAAGAATAACATTTTGTGACACCTGAAAATTACATAAAATTCAAATTTAAATGTTATTAAATAAAGTTTTATTGGAACACATCCATGCTCATTCATTATTTTTTTTAAAATATATTTATTTATTTATTTTTGGCTGCGTTGGGTCTTTGTTGCTGCGCACGGGCTTCCTCTAGTTGCAAGAGCAGAGGCTGCTTTTCATTGCGGTGCGTGGGCTTCTCATTGCGGTGGCTTCTCTTTGTTGCAGAGTACAGGCTCTAGGCGTGCAGGTTTCAGTAGTTGTGGCGCACAGGCTCAATAATTGTGGCTCGCGGGCTCTAGAGTGCAGGCTCAGCAGTTGTGGCGCATGGGCCTAGTTGCTCCGTGGCATGTGGGATCTTCCCAGACCAGGGCTCAAACCCATGTCCCCTGCATTGGCAGGCGGATTCTCAACCACTGCGCCACCAGGGAAGTCCCCATGCTCATTCATTATTGTCTAAGGCTGCTTTCATGTTACAGTTGCAGAGTTGAGTAGTTGGGCCAGAAACTTGTGTGGCTTACAAAGCCTAAAATATTTAATATCTGGCCCTTTACAGAAGAAGTTTTCCAGCACCTGTTCTAGGGTGTTGGAACTCAGTAAATGGCATGGGACTCTTTTAAGCTGTCATCATGCTTTATAAAGGTCTACATTAAAAAATTTTAGAGTACTCACTTCGACAGCACATATTCTAAAATTGGAATGCTACAGAGAAGATTAGCATGGCCCCTGCACAAAGATGATAGGCAAATACATAAAGTGTTCCATATTTTAAATACATATATGTTAAAAATGTATATTTTAAAATATTAGTCTGTTTTGATAAAATAAAATAAAATAAATAAAAATAATCTTTCAGCCAATTTTAAAGAATTATATATATTTGAATTTCCTGAATTCCTGAGACCCATGAATTCCTTGTGGAACTTTGAAATCTCAGCTTTACCTTTTCATTCCTAAAATATTTGAAAAATATTTTACTAGCCATTTGAGATATCCCCCTCTCTACTATATTAACCTCTTTTTATTACTCTCTCTTCAGAAATTATTACCTGGAAAAATAACAATTTGAACGTTTAAATAATTAATTCATAATTTATTTTCTCCTGGAACCTTGAATTATTTTGCAGCTAGAAAAATGAGTTATCCTTTGTATTTTGCAGAGAGTTTCTATCATGCTGTTATTAGGAGAAAATATCAATACCTTGTTATAGGTGTCCAGTATTATATTGAGAGCTATATTATGATGTAAAACGAAGCCACTTTTTTTTTTTTACTGTTAGCATAAGTAAATCTGTTGAACACTATGGTTTACTTTCTGAGGTATTACAGACCATAATGAAATAAATGGCACTTACTGATTCACAACTGCACTTTAAGGTCATAATTAGTTACTAAATGGAGTGTCCCATACATCATTTAATTTTTTTCTTACTTGAATTTCTTAGGTACAATGTTAGCTGTTCTAAAAAATTTGCACTTAGTCGTTGGAATCGTAAGCCTGATAATCAAAGTCTTGGGCATCGTGGCCGTCGTTCAAGTGGCCCTGATGGGGCAGCAAGAGAACATATCCTTAGGCAGGTCTGTAGAAACTTTGATTCAATGTACAATACCCTTTTCAGAAATACAAGGAAAGTGCAATGCTGTATTTTACCTGTACTACATTTTCCAGCTTCCAATTACTTATCCATCTGCAGAAGAAGACTTGGCTTCTCATGAAGATTCTGTGCCATCTGCTATGACAACACGCCTGCGCAGGCAGAGTGAGCGGGAAAGAGAGCGTGAGCTTCGGGATGTGAGAATGAGGAAAATGCCTGAGAACAGTGACTTGCTACCAGTTGCACAAACGGAGCCATCTGTATGGACAGTTGATGACGTCTGGGCCTTCATCCATTCTTTGCCTGGTATGTGATTCACCACTTTGGCCTTAATATTTGTCTTGTGCACACACAGAGGAATGACGTTAGATCCATCCACACCTATTGCACAAAAGGGTTAGAGAAGTTCTATGTATATGTACTCAGTAAATGGCATTTGGTATTGAAATGTGATCTGTCTCCTCTTGCTTATTCCCTCAGCACAACTGGGTATTTTCTCATACCCCCCAAGTCGATAAAAACTGACTAGTCCTGCTTCTGCTGTGACACCTCAGCCGGTGAAGAGATTAAAGGTGCTCTCTTCTCTTCAGTCTGATTTCTCTCGAGAGGTCAGTAGAGAGATTGAGTCAGACACTTCTTCCCTTCTGCTCTTCCAGTTTTCTATTCTATTTCCTCCTTATTTCCTAATTTAACCTTTTTTAAATGAAGTAAGAGAGACTATAATTTTTTTTTTTACTTTTTTGAAAGCTAATCAGCACCTTTTATAATATAAAAGTTTGGCTTCTTTAAAAAAAGAAAAACAAGCTGTTTCTTTTAAAGGAGGCTGCATTCTTTGATTCTTTGCAGTAAATAGACATCAAGAATACTTCTGAAATTAAGTAGACAACTGAAATTCAGTTATGATATTCCATTCCAGTACTGAGGGTTACTTTCTTATTTATGTTTTCTGCTCTCTCATTTGGTACTCTTTCCATCAGCTTAAGTCATTATGTTCTTTATCTTTTTTCTTTACTACAACAGTAATCTTTTATTTCCACTTTCTCTAAGGGGCTGGCTACTGAAGACAGCTGCACCTTTGCTCATCATGAGACCCACACTGCTATATATGTTAAGACAATATATATTTTTTTAATCAGCAAACCTTTATCATTCACTTTGACCTTATGAATATGGAAAATAAGGTTTTAAAAATATTTGTTCCATTTTGGTTTTTCAGTGAATCTATCATTTCTCTTGACACAAGCTTTCCAGAAAAATACATCCCCTTTGAACTTGTCTACAGACTTATTAAAATTAATCCAGCTATTTTTGCTAATTAGTCTTTCTATGAAGGTGACCACTGTCTCAGAAGCAAACTTACAGCTAAAGTGTTGGGAGTTCCCTGGTGACCTAGACGTTAGGATTCATCGCTTTCACTGCCGTGGCCCGGGTTCAATCCCTGGTTGGGGAATCATCCCACATGCCGTGTGGTGTGGCCAAAATACAAAAAATAATAATAATAAAAATTAAAATAAATTAATTAAATAAAGTGTTGTATGAGTGAAGAAAGTATATTCAGAAGTATTCTGCTTTTTAAAAAATTCCTGGCTTGTGATGGGTTGACTTAATGAACTTTCGATTTTATGGTGGTACAAAAACGATACACATTCAATAGAAACTGTGCTTCAGTTTTGAATTTTGGTCTTTTGCTGGTGGTATGAAGCACAGTACTCTCTCCTCAGGTTGGGTAGGGCAGCTCCCAGTCAGCCACGCTGTCACGAGGGTAAATAGCTGATAGAACCATTCTGTACCCACGCAACTCTGGTTTTCACTTTCAGCACAGTATTCAATAAATTACTTGAGACATTTAACACTTTATTATAAAATAGGCTTTGTGTTAGAAAATTTTGCCCAACTTACAGTAGGCTAATGTAAGTGTTCTGAGGACGTTTAAGGTAGGCTAGGCTAAACTATGATGTTCAGAAGGTTAGGTGTATTGAATGCATTTTCGACTTGATGTTTTCAACTTACGATGGGTTTGTCAGGATGTAAGTTGAGGAAGATATATATACAGAACTCTGAAATTTTATTAAATTATTGTTTCAATAGCTTGTTTTAGAAATGTTAAATAAGTTTTTCTTTTTTCTTTTTTTTTTAAACAAGGTATCGTCACTTTTAAAGAAAGATGAAATTGTTTAAAGAAGGGATACATTTTTCATGGGAAGAGTTTTAAGCATGCATCTAGGAAAACTTAGGTGTGATTTAAGTGTTGACTATGTGGGTTTAGAATCTGCTTTAAAAAGCTGACATATTAGAGAATGGTGAGTCTTCACTGGGTGTGGTTTTAATACTTAGTGCAAAAAATTTTAAGTTTTATACCAGTCTAGATATCTTGAGAATTAACATTGGAATTGACACTAATCCCTGAGGCTGGACTTTGATTCTGTCATCTTCAGACATAGTCTTCCAAATGGAGTACATGAGCTGTTAGCCTGATTTCTCATTAGGGGGAAAATATTTCTTTTCCTTTGGGGAGGAGGAAAGTAGTTGGCCAAATAATTAACAAATAATAGATACTGCTGATTCTTCTATGACTTCATATTTTTTTTTTTTAGGGCTAGTTTTCTAATTTTCCCCAGCATCCATTTGCCATGAGACTACTCTTGGCTGCTTTATTAGAACAAAGGCTAACTCCTTTGTCTTACTCTTGCTTCATTTGAATTGAAAAAAATTATTTCTTATAACTTGAGATGCTTGTCTTATTGAGTTCATCAAGACAGTTAATTTTGTTGCTAATTGTTTAGAGAACATTATATATAAAGCAGACTGCTTTATAATTTAGGATTGCTTGGTACTGTTTAAGAGTTTGCTGAATATAACTCTGCTTTTCTTTTACCTGATTAAATGGGAGTTTTTCTAAACTGCTTTGACAGGCTAAATAACAAGCTTATTTGTATGATCAGTTAACATCTTCTTTCTCAAAGTTTTTCTCTGAATAATGCCTGTAGCTTAAGGTAAATCTCAGCCAGAAAGCCATTATCTTTATTTCTCTATGTTCCTCTGGCCTTTGTAAACTTCCTTTTGAGCCGCTTTCAGTTCATTCAGGGCTGGATTTTTTTTTTTTCCCTGAGCTTTTCTCATGCAGTGAACAAACTTGTAAATTTTGTAATCTCTTGTATTTTGTTTCTTTCCAGTTGAGGCTAGGTTTCCCTCTTTCATCAGGGCACCTGTATTTATTCCTAAAGTTTTCTCTTCTCATTGTGTAATGTCACCTTGTGAACCATCTTGGTGGGACCATGTTAGAGCTGGTATGCAGACCAATCTCAGAGCTGTTACCAGAGTGAAAAATTATTTTCTTCAAAATTTTTGTACATTAAAAAGTTCTCTATAGGAACAGTTCTTTTTATTCTCAGTTTACTGCAGTTGTCTTCCTTAACTCTTCCTTGATACAGTGAACTGCCTTTTGCGAAGATCACTTTAGTCTGTATTTGTTGATCTGTGAATCTGCAGTAGATTTGGTTTCCCTGTAGTCATATAAAGTAGGTATTGTCTAAAAACATATGACGGTTTACTGGTTTTCATAATACTGATATTGGGACTTTTTAATTCTGTAGTATTGAGTGCAGGTAATATCTTTTCATCATCCTTACTGATGTTAGTTTTGGGGTGGGGTGTTTTGTTTTAGGTTTAGCTGGAAAAGTGACTGGACATTTGTAAGGTTCATTTGAGACCCATGTCCACATGCAGAGGTCCATGCCCATTCTGATGTCTGCTTGTGGTGATGTAAAGCCAGCTGAGCTGACTGGTTGCTGCAGTTGGGATATGTTCTGTAATGTTCCTGGGGCGCCAGCTGTTTTACAGAAGTAGATTCTAAATATGTCAGAAATTCATAGAACTATAGCTCAGTATACCTTGAGCATCTAGGTTTTTTTAAAAAATTCATCTTTCTCTAATATGTTTCAGGAAAGCATATTTGCTTCTGCCTTTTTTTTTCCATTTTTCTTTTTTAAGTCACTTTATTTTTTCATTTCTATTCTAATGTATGGTATAAATACCCTTTTTGTGGTTTGCTTAAGAAAGTTGTGATCTAAAATTCTGAAGATAATTCATTCCTTTGATCATGCTGTTTCCCAACTTTTTGTTCTGTATTATTTTGCTAATACATTTACCGTCTGTCTACAAGAAGACATTTGAAGAGCACTCTGATAATACCGAGGAACAAGCACATGCTATGAATTTCTTCATGGAGAACTCCTTGTTTCTATTCCCAAATGTAGCTCTTATGGTCCTCATTACTTCTCATTGCTTCTGTTTTCTGAATCTAAGTAAGTCCTATGCTATCTTTCTCTCTCTTCTTTTCTTTCCTGTGTTCTTGTAAGTAAGACTGAAGAGAGAAGAACATTTAGTTCTTTCATAAAAAGAAGGATGAAGTCACAACTAGATGCAAGATTAGTCAGTTTTGTCTGCCCAGTTTCGAGAGCTACCTCTGGGAAAAGAAAAGGGGCTTTTCTATGGTGAGTAATCCCATTTTACCTATATAGTTTCTTTTATATGGTAAGTGGCCAAAAGCATAAAAATTTTGCATAGGGTACTTTTGAAATGTCAGTTTTTAAAAATCTGAGAAATTATTAAAATAGAGAAATTGAAAAGCTGATTGCTATACAGGAAACAGGAAGGATACAACCAACAGAGAAGATGGAAAAGAAATAACCAAGAGAAAAGCTGGCCACACAGCTGAATACAGAAAAAAAGTTTGTGTTACTCTTACAGATGGCTCCTTTTTAGAAGATTCTGTTTTTTGTTTTTTGTTTTTTTTTCGGTACGCGGGCCTCTCACTGTTGCGGCCTCTCCTGTTGCGGAGCACAGGCTCCGGACGCGCAGGCTCAGCGGCCACGGCTCACGGGCCCAGCCGCTCTGCGGCATGTGGGATCTTCCCGGGCCGGGGCACGAACCCGTGTCCCCTGCATCGGCAGGCGGACTCTCAACCACTGCGCCACCAGGGAAGCCCAGAAGATTCTGTTTTTGTTCATTATTCATTCAGACAGTCCTTCACTTATCCAAAAATATATGTATTTAGCACCTACAATGTTTTGTGCTTGGTGCTGGGGTTATAGGGATGACATTATATAAGAGGATGACATCCTCTTATATAAACAAGAGGATGATACATTTGCGGTAGAAAGAATAATCATTCCAGCAACGTTGTATCCAAAGGTATAATATAACCATTTCTATTATCTTTTTCTTTGTGTTCTCCCTTAGAATGCTGATTTGAATAGAAAAGAAAGACTTTAAGCTTTTATAATTTTGTCTTTTATAAGGAAGCTTCCACATTTTTGCATTGTCTCCTCTCACGGTTCGTTAATTCATTACCTTCCCTGCTGGTTTCTTTACCCTTAGTAGGGAAGTTTATTAGCCTGGCTGTGCAAAATTTTGTAGATAATAGAAACGTTTGAGGTTCAAGTAGAGTGCTCACGTTGTTACTTGCTTTAAAGCACTTGGTTTACACAGAGAGGTAAAATATTGGTTATTTGTCAAGAGATTAGCCAGCAAGCTCAAAATTTCAATGAGAATTTATGTTTTCTTATCAGAAGTGGAGATTAGTCCAGTGATATTAAGATTTGAAGTTGAAATTACAAGTTGATCATTGTAATACATTTCAGCAATAGATTGATACTATAATTTTGATGGATTGGTTCTGTCCTGAGTGAATAATAAAAATGTTTTGGATGTGCCTGGCACATTGAAGTTTGTAAATCAGAATAAAGATACAAATGATAATGAGAGTGGTACTTGAGAAAATATTTCTAAATTATTATTTAAATGGCAGAACATTATATTTTATTCTTTTGTACCTGTATGTGAAGGATATGTTATACAAAGTAAAGTTCTTGAGGTATAATGACTAGTTAATCCAAACTTGCTGTATGTGTGGCATGCTTTCAGGTGACAGCATTGCCCTTTTCATGAAGGTATGTTATATCTGGACTGAACAATCTGTACATTTTACCTGACTTATAATTATTTCTGCAATATTATTTTTAGAACAAGAATTCCAAGTAAATGCTTTACCTGGATTTCGAATTCTTACTTTTTAGAATGTCAGGAAGTACTCTCTTCTTCAAGAGTGAACCCAAGACGACCATCAATAAATTTCATTTGTTTCTCAGCCTGTATTTCAGATACTCAGACCCAGTGAGAGCATAATTGTGACTGTTAGGAGTAACCTCTGATTGTTGTGTATTAATTCTAACATCCTTCCTCTGATCAAATTCTAGGCTGCCAGGATATCGCAGATGAGTTCAGAGCACAGGAGATTGATGGACAGGCTCTTCTCTTGCTAAAAGAAGACCATCTTATGAGTGCAATGAATATCAAGCTAGGCCCGGCCCTAAAGATCTGTGCACGCATCAACTCTCTGAAGGAATCTTAACGGGATCATGAGGCTTTGAGATAACAGCAGTTTTATTCTTAAACAAACTTGTAAGGTAAAGGCTCAAGTTGGCCTACAATATTATCACTTACTGTGATGGATAGCCAAGCACATTGGGATCTCTGCATTAAGGCTGACATTTCTTCTACAGATAAAATAATTCATTATATTGATACATTTTCATAATTAGCTAACATTGGTGAATTAATTTTACAGGTTACACACAACATTGAAAAAGACTTGTTATAGAGGGCCATGATATTTTTCAAAGTGTTTTACTAGATAATTTTTTTAAAGGTGATGTTTATCATTAATATAAAAAATCCTTTTGAAAGTAATTTAATGATTTACATTTCTCCTCTTTTGATTCGGTTTTCTTATACATTTTTCTACCCTATAATTTTTCTATGGGTTGTCGTGAGAGATATAATTTAGGAGTGATTTAGGAATAATTTTGGAGTCCAGTGACTGGAATTGTATGCAGTGAGATATCACTGTATGTTTTAAAAAACATGTCTTTTAGACAATTGCTTTGTCTATAAAAAAGGATTGCATTCTAGCATGAATAATACTGATCTGGAAGTTAGAAGATTTGGTTTCTTTTCCAAACTTGACCAAGAATTTGCTGTGACTGAGGAAGTTAGTTTTCCTCTTAGTTTTTGTTCTTTTAGAGCAGTGGTTCTCAACAGAGGTCAGTTTTTTTCCCCAGGGGACATTTGAAAATGTCAAGGGACATTTTGGTTGTCATAGCTTAGGGGTTGGGCGGGGGGTTGCTGTTGGTATCTGATGCGTGGACAGGGATGTCGCTAAATATCCTACAATGCACAGGACAGCCCTCTACAACAAGGAGTTATCTGGTCCAAAATGTCAGTAGTGCCAAGGTTGAGAAACCGTAACATAGGAGGGATAAATGTTGCTCTTTTTCACCCAGAGGGATATTTTGAGGAAAAAAATTTAAAAAGGGATGTAATAAGGAATACATTGTACAATGGAAGTATTTCAGATAGCATTAATGTTCTGCTAGAGTATTTTTCCCAGTTTTATGCATTCTAGAAAAAGGGGGAAAATCTGCCTGTAAAATGAGGACTAGCATACTTAGACTTTTGCCTCTCAGTATTGAGTCATAATAACAATTCTCTTTCATATCTCTCTGCACTGATGAAGGCATAATATGATTATGCCTTATGAACCAGTGCACAGCCTTTGCTGGCAGGGTGATGCTTTGTAGTGGCTGTGTGGTTGGTCTTTGGATTTTTCTAGTGTTGAACAAGCTGGATCTAGCTAGAATGCACATTCCTTTTTCCTTGACTAAATCCTTGTATGCTTCCTGCAAAGCACTTATCCAACTGATCTCTCTTGGATAATTGGATCTAATTTTGTATGTACATGTTTTAGGGAAAAAAAATTTTAAAGCAAAACCTTTCATTGAACAGTTAGTGTTCTGTTAGAATTATGGCACTAAAAATTGTGGCAGGCCTGTGAACTTTATAGTCCTGGACATCAAAAATGTTTTAATCTTTTTTTTTTATCTTATCTTTACCATACAATGGAAATGTTTTAATAATTGAAGGAGCATACACAGATATTTGGCAGAAGTTCAGTAAGTGAGGAAGAGTCCGTGGGTTTCAGTCATTGTCACTGATCTTTTAAAAAAGATTGTGTTACGCTAGAAGACTAAAGATGTCATTAAAGACATCACAGATATTTATCTTTTGGCTTTGTGTACATTAGAGAATGTTGATTATTTTTATACAAAAATACAGCGGGTAATTTTTTTAACCTTTAGATGCCTCTTGTTTGAATGTATGCTTTGTGGGATTCTTTTGTGTAGTAATGTTTTAAAAAAAAGACATTTACTGATAGTTATGTGTAGGATTAGAATATGTAATATAATGTAAGGCTCATGTTCCAGACCTACAATAGCTTGTAGTCTATGTCACATATTTCTGTATATCACATTTTTAATTATTGGATTACAGTTTCAAGGAAAGGTAGGTACTCTACAGTTAATTTTCATTTATTAGCAGTTAATTATTATGACAGAGTTGTCGTATGCTTTGACTTTTCCCCTCATCTTGTAATTTCAGAACACAAGTATAGGTTAAGCATTAGTAGGAGATGGTCCACTGTATGAGGGCTGAAGGGCACAATGGAAAGTCTCCCCAGGAATTAAAACTTTGTCACAGATGATCCACAAACAATTCATACAGAATTGATTCTTTGGGGATAGACTCCCCTGGCAATAATGATTACCTCCCATAACTATATTATCTATATATAGCCTTTAAGGTATTAACTTGGAACTGTGGTCCCTCTTCTGATATCAGTCATTGTGTACTTACTGAAAGCCCCTGTGCGTAGCACTGTGTTAAGTATCCGAGAAAGCTTACAAGAGGGGTTTCCATTGGAGAGCACCTTATAATCCTAAATCTTATAATAATCTTAAGAACAGTCCAGATCTTCTGTTGTCCCTACTCAAAACATACCCAGAAAATATACTTGCTTTTTTCAAGTTATTTTCTTTAGAAATGGCTCATTGGCTTTTAACTAGTAGTTTTCCCATTGATGCAGCTGTTTCTTTCTGGGTGATTTAACTATCTGAATTTCAAAATTTCAGTTATGTATAATGGATATAGATGATAACACTGGGTGTCCACTTCTCTCCTGAGCTTAAAGCACAGTTTTACTATGAAATAGGTGGGGAGAGTGCTGTCATTTTTGTTTTCCTTCATATTACTAGTTGTTTTAGGATTTTGATTGAGGAGAAGGAATGACAAGCAGAAAGGGTACATGGGAAGTTCTTCCTACTTTTGCTACCTAAGTTTGCATTTTCTGACTTCTTTATACTGATGCACTTTTCCCATTGAGGAAGAAAATCCCTACAAAGTTTGAAATTTTATTTGCTTTAAGCCATGTGTTCCTAAGAAAGTACACAGAGAGCTGGTTTATAAAAGTTGTTTCTTACATGATGTGCATTTTCATCAAGCCTTGTGTAGGCATGTGCCTGACACAGCTGTGCAGCTTTGATATATAATCAGTATAAGAGTGCTGTCCCACAAGCTGTCACTTTTTAAGTGGCTGGTAATTTTTCCATGATGGTACTTTTGATTTGCTGGCACATCTTCTAAACAGACATTTTTTAAAGTCCCAGTTTAAGGGCCGTCCCCTCAGAATAGAGAATGTGGAATAGAAGGAAAGAAATATTAGTGAAGGAGCTTGAGAATGGTGGAGAAGCAGACAAGAGACCTGGCACTTTGTTTATCCCACTTCAGCGCTGAACAAATTTCTGCACTTTTGAAGTTAATATTCATGTTTTACCTAGTTCCAAATAGAAATTATTTTTTGTAGGTAGCCCACTTTAATTTTTGACATAGTTTGTCTTCCCATATCCAGTGTAATATTATAGTCAAGACATTTATTCAAATACCAGTCTTGGATTGAAATCTGTCCGAGTGCCCCATATCACTGGCTTGTTCAATTAAATGTTATGAAGTCCCATTATTTGCATTTGCAGGGTTTTGGTACCACCATGGCACAAGTATGGTAAGGAGGCAATATATAGATTGAGTATAGTCTATGTTTGCATGTGTGTAAACAGTCTTGGAAAGAATAAACTATTGCACATATATGGGAATGATGCTATCCTCATAGCCATACCGAGTGGAAGAAATCCCTGGCTGGACACACTGTTAAAACATTTCAAAGATATATTTTCGGCCAGAACAGCCTGGTTATATTTTGTGGTTTGAAGATCCTCACCCTTAGTGAATGGCAGGAACTCATGCTGCCTCTGGGCAATGGTAATTGAGCATTACTGCCTAATAGGATGAAAGAGCCTCACTCCCCTTTACCTCCTCAAGCCCTAAGGAAACTGTGTGAAAACTTTCTTCTTAGAGAGACCTTTGCCTGAAAATCCCTACAGAGGACTTTGTAGTAGGGTTAATTTTAGGGAGGTAACTGGGGCAGGAATTTCTAATACCTAACAGTCATGTCTTCATAAACCCTCTGGGCAGTGGAAACTGGCCATTTATGTACAGTGTTTGCTCAGTCTGTTTCCTTTGCAGGATATGTAACTATAACGGGGCCTTGGGGAAGGTTTTCTAGGGGAAAGGACAGGGAAGTGGAGGAGGAGACAAACGGAGGGAAAAGCATTCCAGACCCAAGAGGATACTGAGTGAGGTTGTGTAGTATAGATATGGCCATCAGTAGTTCAGAATAATAAATTGTAATGGTTGGGTCCCAGTTATAGCAATAAACAGAGTATAGTTTTTTTTATGTCAAGATTTACCTGTAATCAAACTCATTCTTTTACTCTCTTTATCAAGAGATTCTGCCCTTAGGAGCATATTAATAGTTCCAATAATATATAAATTGGTGATACTTTGACTTCTGAAAAAGGTGACAATTATTATAGTTGGAGAATATTTGTCAAGACTCAAAGTTTGTTATAATTGAGTTATCAGAATTATATAGAGGAGAGAGTATCCATTGTCAGATACTACAGTTGAATCAACCTTGTGGATTGTTACAAAGAAAGGCATTTTTAAAGATTTTTAAGATAGTGTTTTGTTAGGTTGTGTCTCAGTCTAAGAGTTGGATGACTAAGAGCTCTAGGGTTCTGTTTATTAGCGTGGATTTCAGTAAACACAAGCCTACCTCTATCTCTTTGATGCACAGTAGTGTGGATCATGAAATGAACTGTTTAATCTACATTCATCAATATTGGTATTTTCTGAAATCTGTTTAGAGCATTTGATTTCATCTTAACAATTGTGATTCAATTAAATAAGCACAAATACAATATTAGGGAAAGTAAATATGCAATCTTATTAAAATTTAATTTCAACCTATTATAAGCTGTACATCTTAAAAAAATTCTTTGGGAAGATATTCCTCTTTTGTTAGAAGTTCATAAAATGTATCATTATATAGTTTCCCTCATAGCACTAATATAAGCCATTTCTTCAATAAAAAAAATGTTGAAAATTATATTATCTTCTTTGGAAAAAGTTTCCTAAATTTTTAAAAATTATAAAGTTTTACATATTATTTTTCAGAGCTTATTTAATCTACTTTAAAATAATACTATGGTAAAGTGTTTTTTTGGAAGTTGTAAAGCACTGATACAAATATAATTTTTACCATCATATTCCAGAGCAAAACGTCTGGCTTTTCCTGAACTTTCACTTTAGTACACGTACATGAGAAGGGAGACCTGCCCACCTTCTCAGATCCGAAGCTCAGCTTCTCTAATGAAAACTCTCCCATTCTGCTCTACCACATGAACACACACCTCTGAAGTGCCACGTTCATGGGAGCTTTGGGAAATGTTTTCCACAAATGTTTCATTTTTTTCCCTTTGTATAGCTTGTGAACATTTAATTTTACTTAAAGGTGACAGTTTCAACCTCCGACATTAGAGAAGAGGTACATTTAAAAAGTATTTTTTTTTACTGCCTTTGAAAAGTACAGTTGCTCTCAGTGATATTGGTGGCGTCAGTATGAATCCATAGAAAAAGAAAACCTGTGTGTAAAGGTCTTAAAATGTATTGTTTTAAAAGAAGTAATAAATGAATTTTAATTTGGAAAAAAATCTATATAAATTTAAAGCACTATTATGCTAACATGGTATAGTTTTAAATGTAAGAGTAAAAAAAGTAAGTCCTTTTAGACCACCTATTTAAATTCACTCCAGTAATCTTAAGGATGGATAGTAGCTGTCTTACTGACTTGAAAGTTATATTTTAGGGACTGTTATCAGTGTTAAATCCTTGATTTTGTGGAGCTTTAATTGATGGAGGTGAAAAATTTGGGGTTTATAAGAGCAGTGGGGAATGGTAGTGAAATGAACATCAACATATTTTAGAAAAAGGAACTTTTTTTAGTCTTGCCTCAAGCAAACCAGATGTATCCATTGCTTAAAATCTTTTAGAATGCTTATGTTAAAGCCATAATTTTGTTTTAGGTAGTACTAAATAATTACTTCAATAGTAAATAAGAGATGCACATAATCATTAAATTATCATGATAAATGAAGTATAAAACACTGGCTGGGAGACTGGGGTTTTACTTCTAGTTGGTGAATTAGCTGTGTGACACCTTAGGCCATTACTTAGCTTTTAACCTGTTTCCTCTTCTGAATATACAGCATGGAGCCTGTGCTACTCAAAATGTTGATTTTGTTTAAAATCATTTTAAGCTATATAAAACTACGATTCTAGGCCACATAATGGGGTATTTTTTAAAGTTGCTCCTACTTAATTCTCTTTTATCTTAATTCTCTTAATTTCCTTTCTTAATGGTTCATTTCACACTTAAGAGCCTTTGCTAAAAGATAATTATTTATTAAGCATCCATTTCCTGGGTCACCCACAGTCTTTGTTCTCCTAAGGATTAAGGTAGAAAATTCACACAGATGAGCAAATGAGGACATTTTTCTAAACGCCTCTTGCTAAACCACTGAACATATGAATACATCAGAATATTGTCATTCATTCATTTATCCATTCATTTAGCAAACCATTTGCACATTTACTGTGCAGTGTGTGGTATACTTAAGGAACTAGTAATAAGTAAACAAAATCCTCTGTTCCCCCCATTTTTGATTGTGGCTTGAACAAACATGGATGTAATTATTATTACTTAATGTACTGAATGTAAAGTTGGAACTGAGAGGGAATTTTTATGCATTGGGTAAAGGATTAGGCTAGGTGATATCTAAGGGATCTGAGTGAATCACATCATAATTCCTATAACACATTTTGCATACTAATCCATATATCTGATTAGGTTACAAAATTAAAGGTACCTAATATTAGGATTTATATTTTGAAACTGCTGTGACAGCCCATATTTCTCAGAATTATTTTGACAATTGAATCTATTCCAGAGGTGTTGCTATATGCAGGGTGTGTGACAGAACAATACAAAGAAGCTGGTGCTGATTTACTATACATTTTGAACTACACCCAGTATTGACAGTGCAGTAACTTTTGAAAACTGAAAAATCTCAGAAGAGCTTGCTGAACAGGTTTGGTTTTTATTTTGTTTTTGTCTTTTTCAAGCAAGAAAGATTACATAACATTTTACTATTATCACAAATATCTACTTTTTAGAAAGCACTCATATATTGCATAGTAAAAGGGTTACCTTTAAAATGCAGAACCGGTAAGCAGTAAAACAGTTTTGTGCTTGGAGCTTGAATTTACAAGTATTTGGGGAGTAAATATAGAGTGGGAGAATTGATTAACTGGGAAGAAGGTCCCTTACCACCCGAGGATTCTGTGAATTACATTGTGATTTCCTGTTGACACAACTTTACATATTAATATCACTTGATACTGACCTTCTCCATAAAGATACAAAATGAAAATATATTAAAAAGATCTTTTATGTATCATAGTCACAGCTTTTAAAGCAGGAAAATGTCCAAATACGTGTTAGACTAGAATCTATAATAAAGTGTTTGTAAACAGGAACACTAACATCCAAGTGACCAGATAGTCTGGGTTAAAAAAAATTTTTCCATGGTACTGGTTAAAACTCTTAAAATATTTTAACTTACGTAATTTTTCAAATATTTTTGCTGTTAAAATATCTATTACATAAATACTTTTGGTATGTGTATTCTAAATTTTTAAAAAATCAGTGGGAGTGTGCAAAGATGGTATAATTTTGGACATCTCATTTCTAAGACATTTAACTAGATTCCCAATCACATCATTCAAAAGCTTGGTCTTTGTTTTTTCCATAGGAAAAAAAAAAGTCAAAGTAAGCTACAAAAAACTCCTCAAAGTAAGGGGTGAGCTTGTGCTGTAGGTTGGAGGTATAGACAGCAGTGTGCAGGATGGATACCGACACTGGTGTCAGGCATTTCAAGCCTCTTTGTTGAATTAGTGCTTTTTGTCTGCTTGCTTGTTGAAAACATTTTTTGCTGTTGACTTAAAGGCAAATTGTGATAAACTTCTTAAAATTTTTATTTTTGATGCCTTATGCACATGTTAACTGATTTTTTAATTCCTCCTTTTGCTTCCTCCCATTGTTCTAATTAAATAGGACTTTCATATTATTAAAACCTCAAACACTGACCCAACCAGGATGAACAAAGAATCACCAAGGGGAAAGAAAACATTTTTTTATCTTTACAAAAAACAAATGTTAAGATTATATATAGATGTATTCTTTATGTTGGATATTGTACTAGAGTCCTCCTTGCAGGGAATGAAATAGTTTTAGCACTCTTAGCATTAGCGGTCCTAGATTGGTGTCTATAGCTGCAGTTTTAAAATGTATAACCTGACAATGAAGTTAATTTTGCATTATAAGAGCACACCATGATCTATGTAAAAAGATTGTCCATTTGGTGTATTTTTTTAAAAAAGAGAAAGCACTTTCATATTAACAGTAGCATGTGTATGAACTTTAGATTTTCATATTTGTTGTGTCTGTATTCAGTGAAGTAAAATTGAACATTTCAAATGTTTGTTGATGGCAACATTAACTGTTAAATTAAAGCACCTTATACTCTGCTGCTTAAACTTGCTTGTAATTGCACCTTTGTTACCTGCACATTTTCACATAGAATATTGTTGTAACATTGCTTCATGTGGGTCTGGATGGAAGGTTAGTGGGCCTACAGGATCATTTATTTATATTGTTTATATTACAATAATATATTGTAGACCAGTTGTAAGTTCATTTCTTTACAAATAAAAGCCTCTTCCATTTGGCTGGTCAACTGAATAATTTCTTTTTTTCCTTTAAGCTTGTGAGGCATGGGGCATCTTCTAAGTAAACAAACAGCTTAGTGGGGCTTGAAATAGTTATACGTTATCCAGGTTTAAATCTGCAGAGAGGATGTCTTTACTAATTAAGTAAAATATATTCTTAAGTATCTCAGTTCCACATATGGCCAATTAGAAAGCCACTACATTCAGAAGGAAAGTAACACAGAGAAGTAGAGTAGGTTTGTACATTGACAAATTAGACGGTATCTGTGTAGCTTAACTCACAGAGTGATTTCAGATTTTTCTGCCGTTTAGATTGCTTCACTCCAGTAGTTCTCAACCGGGAACAGTTTTGCCCACTGAAGGGAGTATGGCAGTCTCCGGAGACATTGTGATTGTAGTGACTGAGAAAGGAGGTTCTACTGGCACCTAGTGGATAGAAGGCAGAGATGCTGCCAAACATGCTGCAGCACACAGCACAGCTCCCCCAACGAAGGGTTATCCAACAGAAAACATCAGTAGTGCTGAGGGTGAGAAACCCTACCTTCACACCATGGTACGTGGCCAATGTGATTATGGGTTGTCATGCAAATATATGACAGATGATAAGTTACAACTGAAGATGGATCTGTTATGTCAGGGAAGAGACTTAGTCACCACTCCCAGTTCTGTAAGGTGAGCAACCAAAACTTTTCTTTTAGGAATATTTGCACTAAGAACAGAGATATATTTTTTTAAATTCGCTGGATTTATTTTTTTTTCATTTACCATTTTAACCACTTTATTTTTTAAAAAGTATTTATTTATTTATTTATCGGCTGCGTTGGGTCTTCATTGCTGCACACGGGCTTTCTCTCTAGCTGCGGCAAGCGGGGGCTGCTCTTCATTGCGGTGCGCGGGCTTCTCATCGCGGTGGCTTCTCTCGCTGTGGAGCACGGGCTCTAGGTGCGCGGGCTTAAGTAGCTGCCTCACATGGGCTCAGTAGTTGAGGCACGTGGGCCCTAGAGTGCACAGGCTGCAGTAGTTGCAGCCCACGGGCTCTAGGCTGCGCAGGCTTCGGTGGTTGTGGCTCGCGGGCTCTAGAGCGCAGGCTCGGTAGTTTGTGGCGCACTGGCTTAGTTGCTCCGCGGCATGTGGGATCTTGCCGGACCAGGGCTCGAACCCGTGTCCCCTGCATTGGCAGGCGGATTCTTAACCACTGCGCCACCAGGGAAGTCCTAAAATTAGCTAAATTTAAATTGCACTAATCTTTCCCCTTATGTTAAAGAATGTTTACACCGAATTAGTTAAAGAAAACAATCTTGATTTTCTTGCTCTAAGTGTAATAAAAATGTTTATTTAAATCTGAAAAGTCGGCAGTGAATCGCAGATTTACCTAACAGTTTGTATCCAGTAGTTTTCTGGGTAACACAAATATCAGTATGGTCAACAGGTATAAATATTTCTTATTGGAAGTATTTTGTTAAAAAAAAAAACCTAATAAATAATATCATAATCCCAAAAAGACATATTCTGAAAAGGTATGAAAGTTTGGGATGCGGGGGAGAGCTTTCAGTTCAGTTCATTCTTTATATGTCCCAAGTCATCATTCTTTCCCATTTGTAAAATTATAATTCTTGTAGCTGTTTTAGTTTTAACATGGCAACATGTCAACAAATTATTACTGATATAGGCTTTTCAATTTGCTCAAGATTATGAATTGTAAGTGGAATGAAGCAGCATTTCCAGTTGACAAATGGATCCACAGGTAATGCCATGTTTCTAAAATTAAGTTTGTGACAGTTAAACCAAAACACTGTAGCAATGAGAAAACTATTGACAAAGTACAACCACGGAATGTTCATCTCGATGTACGCTGGAATCTGTACTTTAAGTAAAAGGATAATTATTTGAAGTAGTACAAATGGTAACCAGGTACCAAGAAAACAGATAATCAACTTGGGCAAGAGTGTTTTTTTAGAGCTCACAGTGTAACTAGAGTGGGATGAAAAGGGAAAATACAGGACAGTCTCGTTCATATAGGACGTTATCCTAACAGCCTGTACCAAGGTAATAACTTCTGACCAAGAGGTTATAAAAGCCATAAATAAAATCATCACCATGGAAAATGACAGCCAGTAACTCTGAATGCTGATGTAGAAAGGACACTGATAAGAATAAACATTCTGTGCCTTCAGGCTTTGGTAAATAGCCGGATCTCCCAAAACATAAGTAAGGACTGAAATCCAAATTAAAATAACTGCAAAGAAATAAAATACTTTTTGACACTTAAATGGAAGCTTGGTGCCTTTACAGAAATTCAGGTAATAATCTATACAAGCTATCAGAAAAACTGGATAATGCAAAAAGCCGTAAGTAAAAGAAATAATTTGAGTAAATAGGCAGATGTGGTATTTAGTAAACCTAATGCCTAAAAGTACAAAATCCCTGAAATAGGATATAATGGAAATATTCACCAAAAGTAGAAGATCAGTAAATGCTAGTGAAATGCAAAAATATTCCATAAAATTTTGATGGGTGTTTTTTCTTCTCATTCCTAGTGTGAGGATATTTAATAATATTTTCCCAAGTGTAATCAAGAATAACAGACAGTTACCATCTAGGGGCTGCTTTGTTTGATGTAGCTGGTACTGAAAAGAGCAGTTCTCTGAAGTAAGAGCAGTCATTTTTTTTTTTTCACTTCAATTTCAAAGGCCTGCTGCTACATCCCTGCAAAGAAAAGTGAAAAGAAAACCTTGATGTTATCTTGATGCTATCACTGTTTTAAAACTTTACAAGGCAAGCACCTCATCTCAAAAATCTATTTTAATCCAGTCATTTCCCCAAATAAACATATTTCTTATAGAATACAGAATATGATCAAGAAGAGTTAATGTGTATACTCTCGTCATTCTTTGAGACCCAGATGGTCCAGAACTCCCAGATCTATAACCAAACTGTTTTATATAAATTACTAACTTCTACATAAGCACAGGTTTTAATAACTTGTTGAAAAAAGGTAGAAAAACACTTTTATCTACCAGAGCCAAAATACAGGCTTCATATAGCTGATTCACTTTGCTGTACAGCAGAAACTAACACAACATTGTAAAGCAACTGTACTCCAATAAAAATTAATTTTAAAAAAATGACTGAAACACTCTTAGAAATACATCTACTATAAAAACAAGCCATGTTTTATGTCATACAATTTTATAACTGAAGAACTGGGAATAATTCAGAAAAAAGGCATAGAAACTCTGTGTAGCTCTAGAAAGAGGATCTAGGATACCTGATTTTCACTCCCTTACTCTCCTGGAAAGAGAATAGTTCCCTGGAAATAAAAACTGAGATCCTTCTTTCCAAAAAGCTGGAAGGTTCCTGCATTAAATCATGACATAATCATGAGATCATTCTACTATTAACTATGTTGTGAATAAGGTATCACATTGATGGTTTGAATTTTCTCCTTTGGAAAAAAAACATTTAGCAAGTTTGACTTCTAAAAATAAAATACATTCCAAGAAAATACAAATATATATATATATATATAGGCTTCAAATAGCAGCCTGATAGGAATACTCAGAACAATCCACTGATAGCTGTTGACTCAGTCCCACTCTCACACCAGACAACATTACCCGTTTTTGTCTTTCTGTCCGTGAAATTTAGATAATGCTTATGAGGCCCCTTTAGTATAGCTGGTTTCAAAGCTTTTTAGCTGCAGGATCATCATTCAAATAAATCTCTGAAGCTCAAAGATATAAAACAGATGGTTCAGCTGAAAATCATGAAAATATTGGTTAAGGAAAAAGATTCATCAGGTGTGGCACCTGGAGAGATGAAAGAATACAGGGAAGGAGTAAGGATACCTGAGAACGTTAAGAATTGTTAGGTAAGGGCAAAGGAACAGGAGCTGAGCTTGAGTGATAAATGCATTCAAAGCAGGAAAAAGATGATGAAAGGGAAAGTTCAAAGAGGAAGAAATCAGGAAAGGATGGAAGAAAAGGAAGGAAATTCAAGAAATTTAGCCTAAAAAAAAAGAAAAACCCACACAAATTTATCCTTAAAAAAAAAACAAAACACAGTTGACCCAAAGTTGTTTCTGCAAGACTGTTCAACCAGTGTTTATAACAGCAAAACAAAACCCAAACAATAACAAAAAACCTACCCATGAATGCCAACAATTAGGGATGCGTTAAAAGTGATACATCCTGGGCTTCCCTGGTGGCACAGTGGTTGAGAGTCTGCCTGCCGATGCAGGGGACATGGGTTCGTGCCCCGGTCCGGGAAGATCCCACATGCCGCGGAGTGGCTGGGCCCGTGAGCCATGGCCGCTGAGCCTGCGCGTCCGGAGCCTGTGCTCCGCAACAGGAGAGGCCACAACAGTGAGAGGGCCCGAGTACCGCAAAAAAATAAATAAATAAATAAAAAGTGATACATCCTTGGGGCTTCCCTCGTGGCGCAGTGGTTAACAATCCACCTGCCAATGCAGGGGACACAGGTTTGAGCCCTGGTCCAGGAAGATCCCACATGCCGCGGAGCAACTAAGCTCGTGGGCCACAGCTACTGAGCCTGCGCTCTAGAGCCCATGAGCCACAACTACTGAGCCCATGTGCCACAACTACTGAAGCCGATGCTCCGCAACAAGAGAAGCCACCACAATGAGGAGCCTGCACACAACAACAAGGACCCAACACAGCCAAAAATAAAAATTTAAAAAAGTGATACATCCTTACAATGTACTATTATGCAGCCATTAAAAATGTTTCTCGGGGGCTTCCCTGGTGGCGCAGTGGTTGAGAATCTGCCTGCCAATGCAGGGAACACGGGTTTGAGCCCTGGTCTGGGAGGATCCCGCATGCCGCAGAGCAACTGGGCCTGTGAGCCACAACTACTGAGCCTGCGCATCTGGAGCCTGTGCTCCACAACAAGAGGCCGCAACAGTGAGAGGCCCGCGCACTGCAATGAAGAGTGGCTCCCGCTTGCCACAACTAGAGAAAGCCCTCGCACAGAAACAAAGACCCAACACAGCCAAAAATAAATAAAATAATTAATTAATTAAAAAAAAAAGTTTCTCAGGATAGGAAGACTTAGTTTTCACTCTACCTTTTCTATACTTGTTAAATGTTATGCCTTGTGATTTTGTTACATGTTAAAAAAAAAAAATACCATGATAAATTTCCACAGTATGTTTACTTAAGTAAAATGCAGGATAAAAAATTATGCAGCAGTATGTCATCTCGTTTTTTACAGATATTATACATGTATAGAAAAAGACTGAAAAGATACATATCAAGTTATTAATATGGTAGTATTATAGGTTTTTCTGATTTTCTCAAACTTTACAGAAAAATAGTAAGGGAGTATCAAGTCTGAAAAGTAAAAAAACAATTTGCCTACAGATAACTGATGATTAATTTCAAGGAAGTAGTGAGGATACTGTCTGAGGGTAAAGAAAAGAGAGGGAGAGGGCCACCAGTTCTGTTGACAGAATGAACCCTAAGTTGACAAAGTCTCTCCTAGTTGAGAAGAGAATTCAACTCTCTTCAACTAGGCCAACTTTTGAGCTTCTGTATTTGTCTTTTCATTGTCCAGTTTTAGCAAGAATATTGCTAAGTCGGTTTAGGCAGGATCTCTCACTCTCAATATCTGATCTCTCTTAATATCTGACCAGGTTCCTCATCCCCATCGTCCTTTAGTTTAGGTGATCCCTAATCACCTTGATCTGCCTTCAGCAAGAATTCTGGTAGGTCAGTTTCACCAGAATCCCCTCTTAACCTCTGATGTTTCCTTGGTAACTGTCCATTCACTGACCTGACCCCCACCTTCCTCCTTGGGTATAAATTCCCCCTTTTCCTTGTTGTACCTGGAGTTGAGTCCAGTCTCTATACCCCCGCAACCCCAACTGCAAAATCCCATTATTGTGGTCCCCACACCTATTGCAGTCATCTTGAATAAAGTCTGCCTCATTTTTCTTTAACAAGGATCATAAATAATTTTTTCTTTAACATATTCTCATGGCCATCAATCTACCTTGTCATTAGCTAAGTTATTAAGACACACAAATAATGTATCTAATTTACACACACATGTATATGTAGACAGTTATAAAAAATCATCCAATACCTATTTTCATAACTATAGGTTATAAAAGAACAAATGAAACAAGTTCTTCTGTACGCTCAATTTTTTTCCTATACTCAAATATTCTATATAGTTTAACTTTTCCCTCAGAAAGAGTTCCATTCCAGATTTGATATACAGGGGCACAGAATCATGGCTGCCACCTTGACAAACACTACTGGCCTTGGATAAGGAAACCTGGGTGGAATGGTAAGACCATATGAAATCCTTGTGCCAAGAAAAAAAAAACAGGCTTAGTTTTAAATAGCAAATGTTGGTTCAGAATGGGGGTGGGAAAGGGAAACGATGTGGGTTCATATTTATAAAGACCCACTTATTAAAAAAGCATGTTTAGGGTTTCCCTGGTGGCGCAGTGGTTGAGAGTCTGCCTGCCGATGCAGGGGACACGGGTTCGTGCCCCGGTCCGGGAGGATCCCACATGCTGCAGAGCGGCTGGGCCCGTGAGCCATGGCCACTGAGCCTGCGCGTCCGGAGCCTGTGCTCCGCAACGGGAGAGGCCACAACAGTGAGAGGCCCGCGTACCGCAAAAAAAAACCAAAAAAACAAAAAAACAAAAACCTCCCTGTAGAAGACAAAAAGCCTTTGATGGGCTACCCGTTCCCCAATTTTCCCTTGAAAAATGTTCACATTAACTACTGGGATGCAAAGATTTATGAAGATATGATCCTTTTCCTGCATGATGTTTTAAACTACTTATGAATCAAGTCATGCTTCATATACAATTCAAGAAGTTAATGTGCAGGTCCTTTTCAGGGCATCTTTGGGCTTGCTGTGTGATCTGGCCAGTTTAGAAGTATTAGTAGGACCTGAGGGAAACAAACCATGACTTCTTTTCACTGACCCAGTCTCTGCTTTTCCACTTAAAACCCAGTTAATTCTTAACAACACACCACACTTACTTTGCTTTCTCCAGTAGGTCTTTCTTCACTGATCTTCCTATTTTACTTCAGTTTTACTGCCTTTAAGTATCTCACTTCTGGTTCCTGGCATACCAAAATGCCATGTGAATAAGCTCTGTGTGAGAGATAGAAAATAAAATAACCGTCATTAATAGCCAGCCACCTAAATAACTGGAATTCAGTGTAACTGCCTCCAGATCTCTGCTTAGAGAAACTGTAACTATTTGTAGGATTATGGCAAGTAACTTCTTTTTTCCAGAAAAAGGAAGGAAAGGGATACTTAGATTAAAAGTCACCAAAGACCCTGAGATATGGGTGCAGATAACATGGTATCTGTTTATAGAAATACTGCCTACATTGCAGTTTTCACCCACAGGTTCAGAGTAAACTAGCAGCTCTCAAACTTTCATTTCAGGACCTTTTGACACTTGTTGCATGTTAACATGAGTAACATTTTTTAAAGTGAAAAATTACTGTGTTTTCCCAAACAAAAAAATTGAGTGAGCAGAGTGGCACTGTTTCACATTTCGCAAATTACTTTAGTATCTGGCTCAACGGCAGACAGCTGGATTCTCGTCTATAAAATCAGCTGTGATATCACACACGTAGCTTTTGGAAAATCCACTGTACATTCATGAGAGTTTGAGAGTAAAAAAGAGGTATATAACTT